TGTGCACGCTATGTGCTTATTTATGCATATGATATGCTAAATTGGTCGGAATACAATCCTGCTTGTCTTTGTAATACAAAGAACAAGAAGGTATTGTTGAATAATATWTGCCCATACGGGTATATAGTATGTATATAAGTGTAGTATGTATATAAGTATACTGATTATTAATAAAATATTGTTATTGATTTAATTTGGGTTTTTTGTTCAAATTTCGCACGGCTTATTGTTTATAATTAAGCTATTACCGCAGCTTCTAATAATTCAAGATTTATTATTTTTTTTATGCTTTGCATTTACGCCCTAAATCGGGGTATGTATATATTATTATTAGGTTTGTATTACCGCGTATATAGCGAATATATGTATTTATAGATAGAGAAAAGAAAATGAACAATATGCATGTCATTAGCCTCTGCACTTGCAGATTAGCAAGTATGGCTATGTTCGTAAATGCATCATGACTTGCAGCATAAGCGACAGTAACAACACTGCAAGTTTGACGTTTGATACTTCTTATACAATTTTTGACAATTYGCAGATACATTTGTTTGCATTTTGGAACTAAAATGGAAATTTTGCTGAATCTAACACTAGACGAAATTTGTGAGCAAAGAAATRATAGATTTTCTTTAAATTTAAGAAAAAGAAGGGTATTGAAGTTAAAAAGAAAAATTTGTTGGTACAAATGTTTGTCTTTAAAAAGAAAAATATCTAAAAACAAATCATTTATTAAAACAATAAAGTGATTTCCTGAGGACATTTTCTATTCCCATTTCCGAATTGGGCCACTTTTAAGGTAAGGTTTTATAAGTTTTATGAAAATTAATAATTTATARTTTCACTTTAATTAGGCTTTGGAAAAGGCTTTCACTCCGCACTGGGTAACTGCAAGGCTTGGCCGTGATGGTCATTCGTTAGAGAATTGCCGGTACAGGACATTATGGAAGCCATGTAATAACAGGGTGACGTTCCGACAGCTTTCGGATCGCTTCAACATTGCAATAGGAACATCACACCGTGTATTTAACAAAACAATCCAAGCCATTTGTAATCTTAAAAGCGAAATAAAATGGCCGTCTATTGACTATCCAGTCTTATATGTGGATTTACATTTAACATCGGTCACAACTTTCTTCCTCTTCTTCTTCTACTTGATTGGCGTAGTCACCGCTTACGCGATTATAGCCRAGTTAACAACCGCGCACCAGTCGTTTCTTCTTTTCGCTACGTGGCGCCAATTAGAAATTCCAAGTGAAGACAGGTCCTTCTCCACTTGGTCCTTCCAACGGAGTGGAGGTCTTCCTCTTCCTCTGCTTTCCCCGGCGGGTACTGCGTCGAATACTTTCAGAGCTCGAGTGTTTTCGTCCATCCGGACAACATGCTGTTTAGTTCTGCAGCTCTAATTATTTTCTCCAGAAGTAAGTTGAGGAAATCGCAAGATAGGGAGTCGCCTTGTCTGAAACCTCGTTTGGTATCGAGCGGCTCGGAGAGGTCCTTGCCGGTTCTGACGGAGCTTTGGGTGTTGCTCAACGTCAGTTTACATAGCCGTATTAGTATTGCGGGGATACCAAATTCAGACATCGCGGCATAAAGGCAGCTCCTTTTCGTGCTGTCGAAAGCAGCTCTAAAATCGACGAAGAGGTGGTGAGTGTCGATTTTCCTTTCACGGGTCTTTTCCAAGATTTGGCGCATGGTGAATATCTGGTCAGTTGTTGATTTTCTGAAGCCACACTAATAAGGTCCAATCAGTTTGTCGACGGTGGGCTTTAATCTTTCAC